ACATGAAACTTAGATTATTTTAAGACTAAATGTAAGGTGGAAAATCTTTGTTAATTATATGAATACGTGAAGCTGAATAATAAAGTGCAAGGAGTCACGTATATATTCGACTATTTTAATAAATTCATACCTTACAATTGGAATAAAGCTGAAGTAATATCCTGTAGAAGGTTGGCTAGTAGAGCTCTTGTTGGATCGAATTCTATTATTTACGTACTCGCAATAAATAAAAATAATATATAAAAATTCACCAATTGTCAAAAGGTAATTGGTTGTGCGTATTACGATTCCTATATAAAGTTGTACAATTGTATACAGATTGAATTTTTTAATTATTTCGTATAGGTATGTAATATTTATAGGAATAATCATTTGAAACTCTATTATTGATTTAGTTTTACTTTGTACTATTTTAATAAGTTATGTATTATCACACCCTAGACACATTTTTTTAAATAGGTACTTATCTCATTTATAAACTACATATCAATTTTTAGCTTTTTGCAGCTTTTCAATTCTATGATTAATCACCTTAAAGATATTTATCATTCTTATGCCCAGAGAGGTTATGACTAACGTAGACATTGTTATAAGTCATGGAATAAAGTTAATAGAATATTTGAATTTTTTTTAATTGTTATTTACTGAGACTTTAACAATAATGTAACTTTTTTAAAGGAACTACATATGTTTAGTATTATCATGTTATTGAGCATTTCAATTCGAATTCAACGACATATTTGAAAGTTTTGTTTGAGTAATAATTTTTCGGATAACTGTACGAATGTTGCTGGCAAATGTCAAGTTCGGAAGCATCTTTTTTTTTCTTTCATACAGTTATCTGATAATTTATTACTCAAACAGAACTTTCAAATGTGCGTTTGAAATCATCTTCAAATCGTTCATAACACGACATTAATAAAACTATACATATAGTTCCGTTTAAAAACATTATATTGTTATTAATGTCTCTGTAAATAACAATAAAAAAAATTCAAACATTCTATTAAGTTTGCTCCATTAAATAAAACAACTTTTATATAAAACATTTTTTCGTATTCGTAATAGTTAGATTAATATAATAGCATGTATACATTTATACCGGGCCTACTTGGATACATTGTATCCAAGATTGAATCAGCGTGATTTTCGTGGGACATCAAGTCTCATAAGATGTTCGGTCTATTCTTATATCTCGTCTGTGGTACGACTTGCCCGTTCGAGTCGATGGACTTCGACGCAGCGTTAACTTTAATTAATTTTCATATCGTCAATTTTGAAGTCTCCAGATTTTTTTAAATTTGTCCATAAAGAAGAGAAATAGAACTACATCATCAACTTTTTTCAAATTTTTCAATTGGGCCCTACTATTATAAAATTACATTTCTTTAAGACAATTACAAAATAAATGGTTAAAAAATATTTTGTTCTAACTGAAATACCTTTTATTTGGTACTATTGTGTCTCCACTATAAGCTCCATAAAACACATTTTGATAAATTTATTAGTTCAACAATGTATTAGTTCGATCAGTCGACACAGTGTGAATTGACCCTGCGTTCACTTTAATTAATTTTCATACGGCCAATTTTAAAGTGTCCATATTTTTGGAGATGTTACGTCCCGCGTTGCGGTCGTTACTTTATTTATATTTTCGGGTCCTGGCTCTTTTAAGGTGCTAAAGCACGCCCTGTCTAAACTTACCGATGATATACAGAATTAGGATATGGAACGGGAGGGATAGGAAATCACTCTCGTTTATAACAACAACAAGATATATTCTAACAATGAATAAAATAAAATATACAATGAAGTCTTAACATACCAATGATGATGAATGATTAACGCTTGCGGCTGGTTCAGTCGGGGTTTCGGGTCCTTGAAGGGGCGGAATACTTGCTGGCGCTCGGAGCCGTGATGCAGGGGTCGGGCACTGCGGGATACGTTATCACCGTCTCGGACGTCACACTTCGCGGTCCGGTGTCTTATCGAACTCGCCTGTTAGGCCGCGCGTAATCGCAAAGTCGCGTCGCACTGAATAGGAAACGTCACGGAACCCGATACTGAACAGCTGAGTGACCGCTGTCGCTCAGCTCGCCGTTACGCGTGAAGAAACGCAGACGAAGCACCGTCTAACAAGAACGAATTACAATCAGGAGAAGAACCTTGCCCGGTTTGGACAATTGCTTTTATAGTGTTTTTCCCCCTTCCTTTATTGAAGAACGTGGAAGATACGGGGTAGCAACAAGCTATTGTTCGTCAGGGAATTCTCGAGTCGTCGTGGCGGTGTTTCGATATTGCTGATCCGTCCGGTCCGTCGGTCAACGTCCCGTCGGTCAACATCTCGAGGATTTTCGACTACGCGCGTAGCTTTCACGTGTCGCTGATTTGACGATTTTCGCTCGCTCTTCGCGTTGCGAAGTAATGTAGTAAAAATGTGCAAGGAAAAGAGGTAATATTCCTAACGGGATATAACAGAGATATACCCATAAAGAGGACAAATAGGGCTATATCCTCATTTCTTTCAAATTTTTAAATAGTTTGTCAGTATAAAAGCAGGGCATATATTTAAAATAATTGCAAAATAAATGGTTAAAAAATATCTTTTCTTACCTCGAATAACTTTTATTTGGTACTCTTATATCTCCTACGTAAGTACCCGCAAAGCTGTAACATCTACAATTAGTTAAATTGTCAAAAATTCTTCGAGATTCGTTTATATATCGATAAAGACTACAACATATCCAAATTGGAACAAAATCCGAAATGGTGCTCCAAAAGGTGTCCGATTTCGCGTGGAATGACCCTATATCATATATCGGTTGTCACAAGTACAGTCTCTTTGTTGAATAATGAGAGAGTCGACATTTCCGAAAAATAATAGTATGTGTAAAGGAATATACAAGTATTATATAGGAAAAATCTTATCCGAGGTTTTGTTAACGAGATATTAACGAAAAACCCCGACCAATCGAAACGCCAGTCTGCCGGCCGAGTTCCCGAGGTAGCGTTGGCTAACGATCGCAGCGCGTACCCAACACTACCGCAGAAACTCGGCTGGCAGACTCGCACTCTAATTGGTTGGGGTTTTTCGTTAATATATTTGTTAGAAATATGCAAATCATATTTTGGCGCCGCTGAATGTCAGGTAAATAAGGTAGTTAGTTACCGGACCGACTGATTGTAGTAAAAACATGCGGTGTAACGGAGCCTCGTGTTTCGAAGATAGAGAACTCCGAGCTGTCGTTCAAGTCGGAGCGTGCAATACTGTGTCTGTGTCTTGCGCCTGTACTCTCGTTCGTCTATTAAATATATATCGCTTTTATTCTTAATTCTCTGTGCCCACTAATACCTCCTTGATTACTCAATCGTCTGTGTGCGTTATACGCGTAATATTTACCACTAAAACAACAATATTGTTAACAAAGCCTCGGATGATGTTTATGCTACGCAAAAAGTTTTTTCAAATCATCCCAGGAACCCCTCATTTCCGGGAGTCGAAACTACTTTCGGACACCCTGTATAAACTGCAGACTTCAGATTGTCATCTGGCGATTACTGTGTCGGTTGTAATCCCACATTTTTTAGTTGACACGGCTGAATTGTTATTCATATACAAGTTGAATTTCGAACTTAGAAATTCAATTGGTAGCCGAGCTTCGGTCGGTCCGAAATTGACGTTGAAATCCCCACTCACAATCGAGTCATTCCACGTCAAAACGCACAGGGAATTGCGGTCATAGTCACTGATTCTTTTCAAATTACAGCATTTGTTGATAACTACGAAAAAATGAACCATGGCAAATTTTAGCTTCCTACCTCGAACCGTTTCCGAGATAGTTAACATAAAGTTTTCGAGCAATTGGACGAAATCAGCCGACACGACATCATTTTAACCGCAATATTTTGGTTATTTCCAAATATAGAGCATTGATCTTACTGTCATTTTAAAGCTAAAGAAGCGCTTTATCGAACTGTATTCGCGAAACTTTGTTCATTGTTAATAAATACAATAATAATTAAAGTTACATTTTCGAATGCCAATTTGACACTGTTCCCACCTATGAATCAATTTGGAAACAATATCACTATATTCCTCGAATATTCAGCTTTACAGTGCGCTTTTGAAACAGTTGGAACGATTTCGGGAACATTAAAAAAAAAGTTTACCATGATGTACGTCGCGTGGCGTTTGCCGATGCTGCGATGAGCCAGTTGGCAGTTGCCGCACGGTCATACTGTACCGGGTGGCGCACAATGGTATCGCTTTCCCAAGATACACTTACTTATCGTAACATCTAGAAAAATATATGTATACTTTACACTACCTAAATTTTATTAACAAATGTTTTGTTACGTTATCATATTTATTTTTCTGCTATTTATTTGGCAAATTAATGTCATTTCCTTACTTCCGTAACTGATGATTTGCATCTGTAATTAACAAAAATATACAAACTCAAATGGGAATAAAAAAACGTCAATATTCACAAACATTTTAAGGAAACTATTGAAATATATTAATATGATATAATAGAATTGGAGTCTCAACTTCGATCATTTTTTCGACGATATTACAAGCGGTTAAACATAAACACAAAAGTAGGTCATTCGCTGCAGTCCGTCTTCTGCAAAATATACATTATTGGATGTATATTTTCAAAATATGTACTTCTAACTGGCCACACTCCATATTTCAAACGTCGCCACATGTGAGTCCTCCCTCCATAAAATGAGAGTTTCAAAAATGATCTACTACCTACATATTACTGCTACTCCATTCCAACATTATCATGATTTATATCACTTTTCTCCCCATAATACCAAGCAAAATAATATTCACTCCTTATTCCTCGATCCTTCCACTATCAAATGAGAGTGTTCAAAATGTGGTATCTCCTTGAAAACATGTAACAACAACCGTGTGAGCGGTGGGAAAACGCTTTAAAAGGCAGCGAACTCCGACGTGACTGTTCAGTTTCCCTGGATAATATCACGAAGAATGGAACGTTGGAGTGGAAAAGTAGCGATTGTGACCGGGGCTAGTTCAGGAATCGGTGCAGCGATCACGGAATCCTTCGTCGAACATGGCGTCAAGGTGGTTGCTCTCGCAAGGAGGCTGAACAAACTTCAAGAATTGGCCGCAACTCACGGTAAAGATAAGATCTACCCAATCCAATGCGATGTCACAAAGGAGCAAGATATATTACATGCGTTCAAATGGGTCGAAGAGAAATTAGGCGGTGCCGATATACTTGTGAACAATGCCGGATTGGTCGTTCCGTCTGCGGTCATTGGTAAGCTTTGTCCTTTCTTTGAGAAGAAACTTATTAACTGGGCGAGTTCAAAAACTGTTTTGAATAATTTAAATGCAAGCGCATTCTGGAACTTAATGTTAACCCCTTTCTTTTCGATTTTGACGACGACTGTACTTTCCCAATAAGTTCCCAAATACAAAAGGAATTCCATTCTTATTTCAAGTGTACATTTACTCTAAATTGTAAATGTTAATACCAGTAATATAATTAGTATTAGTAATTAGTACTAGTTACCAGTATGTAAATTCAGTTTGAAATCGTCACTACGTGTCTGACTCGGTGTTACAAAGCAAGGTGTTGAGGTGGAGACTGTATCGTAAAGTAGGTATACGATGAATAACGTTATAATATTAAATAGGAATTGTTACATTAGGAAACTAATAATGTCTGAATAATAGGAACACAATATAACAAGTATCACATTGGACTGAAGACAAATTTATAAGTATTAAAAAACATATATTAAATATGTTCAAATAGAAAAAAATAATAAAACGATGTATACACGAAGAATGAAGAAATTACTACAGCAATGTAGTTATAAAAATCTATCATTTCGTAAAGTATACCTACGGCTCTAAGACTTTATGGATTTCATATTCAAGAATATCTATGATCAAACTATCGAAAGCGAACATATATAAGAATATATAAGAATAGACTTAACATTTTATGGGACTTGCTGTCCCACGAAAATCACGCTGGTTCGAGGTTCGAGCGCATATCTACATAAAAGTTTCCGATTTCAGGAACTATTTTCGACACCGTGATAACGCATAACACACAGATTATAATGCGATAGCAAGAAATGGAATACTGAAATGGTACGAGGGGGCTTTTAACGTCCCCGAAGCATGGTAGTAGCTGTGGTAGTAGATTTTCTGACTATGTTATCAGCCGGTAATTTCAATGTTAGATTTCACTTTTTGCACTCTACAATATACTCTGAAGACTTGTGCATACAATAGCAGGGAGAAGTTTAAAAGCAAAAAGTATATAGAAATAAATGAATAATTTTATATAATATGCATTCTCATGGTGCTGAAACTTATTTGATGATAATAATGAATGAATAATATATTCAATAAAATAATTTAACAAAGATTTCTTAATGCTTAATTATTATTTCTTTATTGTTAGAGATTTTGTAACACTATACATACATCACAGCTGAACTGACCATTACTATATGCGCAGATATTGCATCACCACCATCTATTCAGAGATAATGATACCTTGTGACTCAACAGAAACGTAACAAAAACATTGTAACATTTGCAACTCATCATTGTTTCGTGATATGTATACATGTATATATGTGTCCGTAGATTTCAGTCGAAGAAATTACATAACCGTTTGTCTAACGTTAGTTGAATATTTCTACATATCTCACTCGGTTATTATGTTAGATTCCGATGTTTAATATTTAAAAATAATAATTTTTATTCTACTAAACTTTTGAACATGAAATCTTACAAGTTTTATAAAGTATTTAGGCTATAGTTTCTAAAAACTGTTAGGTTGTAGTGTTTCTTCTATATGTCTCACTCAGGATCGTAGACAATAATCTACCTTGTGAATTCTTAACGCGCCCTTAAGTATTATTCGGAGATCTGATTTAAGAGGTAGTGGGAGTGAGGAAAGGTCCAATAGGAAGTCTTGGATGTTACTAGGTGTTGATGAGTAAGAGGCTAAAGGGTATGATTTTTGGATTGGTGAGTAAGAGGTTCAGGCGTGACTCAGGGTTGCTTCAAGGGTAGTATGCGTAATTATGTACTGAAGATAGGAAGAAATTTGGGGCTACTTATCTTAAACTAAGCGGTAAATATAAAAATATGCTCTAGCTTAGAGCGGTATCCAACAATTAGAACCTGTGAAACGTTGATTTATTGTTTAGATTATGTACACGTTTCTTTTTAATCAAAGCTACTTGATAAATAGCTTTTTATGCTATTTATAGAAATGAAATACTTGACTTTGATAAATCTATAGAATCTATTCTTCGTTTACACTTAATTTAAAAATATTTCACTTTTCCCAAAGGGTACCGACTACCAAAAGTGATGACATATAAAAGTAGAAAATTCAAGTAAAGTTGCTCATATCAACATTACCGATAAGAAGTTTGAAACAAATTAGGTATTTATAAATATTCTGTTACAGACTCGCCGACTGAAGACTACCGTAAAGTAGTAGATACTAACTTAATAGCTCCCGCAATCTGTTCCAAACAATTTTGTCAGTCAATTAAGAGACGTAATACACACGGGCATATATTCAATATTAACAGGTTTGTAATTACCTAGGTTTATATAGACTATAACTGATGGAAGTGACCAACATGTGACAAATTTTCAAAAGAATGTGGATATGGGTCTTTTTGTCTTGTTTATGGACAAATTTTTAAAAATATGGTCACTTTAAAATTGACCGCATGAAAATTAATTGAAGGTAACACTGCTAGTACTGCACTGCTCGGTCGGTCTCGTCGAACCGGTACCTATGCTTCGATGGCGCGTTAAATTCAATTAATTCTCATATGACCAATTTTGAAGTGACCATTTTTGTTTTAATTTGTCCCTAAAGAGGACAAATAGGACTTGTTTTTTTTCACAATTTTCAATAACGCCGCGCTATTATAAAATCTCTTTTTTTTCAAAACAATTACATAATAAATAGCTAAAAAATATTTTTTTTAACTCAAATAATTTTTGTTTAGTACTCTTTGGTCTCCACTGTAAACACCCACAAAGTTTATTTTCATCAGTTTATTAGTTCAATAGTTATAATTTATTGAAAACAGATTGACACTATATTTCAAGCAGCTGTAAAATCAACAACTTTTAAAATTTTCAAAAATCCTTCGTATTACGTTTACATATTACTGAAAACTATAACATATCCGACCAATTTATAACAAAATCTGAAATTTTCTGAAGTTACTCTAAAAAGTGTCCGAAATTAAACTTAAATTATCCAAAAACATGAAATAAGTAATAACTATATGTATGTTTACAATTTATAGCATAGCTGGACACTATGCAGAAGCCATTCAGATTCCAATCGGTATGTATGGTGCCAGTAAATATGGTCTGACTGGTCTGTCAGCGGAATTACGCCACGAAATACTCCTGGCTAAACTCAAAATACGAATTACGGTACGACTAGACTTCATATCACTGTCATAATGTCTTGATATTGTAAAATTGATATTTTTACATTGAGTTCAAAATATAGCAGAAGCACATTTTTACGCAGGCTGTTTGAGAAAACAAATTTTAACTGGGTACATTGGAATGTTACCGTACCTGATACGGCAAGAAAATCGTGTATCAAAGTTGATGAAATCATAATATACGGACGATTTAGAAATGTGTGATCTGAATTTTTCGAAAACAAAATTGTCTACAAAAAAATATTATTCCATGTTTCTAGTTTATTTTTTAATGTAGAATCAATTGCCATTCGCTAGTATTTGTCTCATCGTCAGGGAGGCCGTCTATAATTAGGTACACTTCACTATGTGGGGAGAGTGATATTATTCCTCCTGACAAATGTAACAAAACATGTGAACATAAGCGTTCATAGAATTACTTACACATGATTACAATTCACAACTAGAATATTTGATTATATTTACACCAAAACGTGAGAAGATATGTGGAATTGACATTCATTAATTGTACATAAATACGAGTATGAGATATGACAATCATAAAATGTTTCTTTCTTAATTATTGTTGGCAGATGCCTATTAAAAAAATAGAAAAGAAGAATTGATATATGAAAAGAATGGTAGCATAATAATAAATACTATATTAATAAATATTATTGAACAATATCACGTTTATTGAGGTCGAGAACTTTTATATGCATGTAATGTTCCATTCTTTTACATATTCCATTCCATTTCTTGCATCGTTAGTGAAGATAATTAGTGAATAATTTTTGTTCCAATAAAAAACGTTACTTCTCGTTCCGAAACATTGACTGTAAGCGTCGACATAGGAAATTAAAATGTGTTCACCTTTAAACAGAATATCAATCCTGGTGCAGTACTTACAGATATGGTTAAAGTCGTAATTCAGGCCAGCGACGACGTTCTTAAACCGATGACATTACGCGACAAAGACATTGCTAGTGGAGTGGTCTATGCCCTAGGAGCACCAGAAGGTGTAGAGGTAAGAATGAGCGAATCTATTGGCTTTTTTAAAAATAAATAATTACCTCCTCGGCGTGGTATTACATGCAATAATTATTTCTTTTAGATTTACCAATTGACAATTGTGCCGAAAAATTCAATAATTGGGATCCTAACACCACCCTAGTTGCAATATTATTGTTGGCATTTTGTTGGGCCTTCGTTGCAGTATTGGTTGGTCAACAGTTAGAATTGTCACCGTTTTGTGCAAGTGGGCCAACGATCATATCCAACGTTGGGCCTACGTCACTGTAATACGAAGGGCCAACTGTTGAGTATCTACAATGAACCAAGAATAGGAAGACAGTTGGCTATACTACACTTCCATAAAATGGACCATTAATTCCATTTACGGAATACTACCGCGAATGATGGAACGTTGGTTTGGAAAAGTAGCGATCGTAACCGGGATCTGAGGTGGAGGTTCTGCTTCTGTAGAGAGGTTGTTTTCATTTGCAAAAATGGTGGATTTACCGCAGTATGGATACATTTATGACGAACTCTTTGAATCTAGAACACTTTCGAAAGCAAGTGCGGTTAAACTATAAACCTCTTATGTCAAATTGTTGGTTATTTTATTTGCGTGACATAACTGAATTAAAAAATTATTCAAATAGAAAATTATTTGAAAATAATTTATTTGAATTAAACACAAAATGAAATTAGTTTTCTTATGTTATTTGTAAAATAAAAATAATAATGTATTTGAAATAACCCATTATTTCAATTGATTATTTGTTATCTGATTTCAAATAAAATGTGCCCAACCCTGTTAACAATTTAATTTTTACAGCATTTCGCACCGAATTTATTATTTACGCGAAATCACTTGAGATTACGTTACAAATACAAAAATGAAAACCTTATATGGAATCGATGCGTTTACTACGATATCGTAGACTAGAGATAACGTGTTACTAAGTGGATCGTGTTGATACGGGGGAGACATTTTATAAACGCGGCGAGTTCTAGCTGACATACCAGTTTTATAGCATACTATCGCGAACGATGGAACGTTGGTCTGGAAAAGTGGCGATCGTAACTGGTGCTAGTTCCGGAATCGGTGCAGCGATCACGGAATCCCTCGTAGAACATGGCGTTAAGGTGGTTGCCGTGGCGAGAAGGCTGAACAAACTTCAAGAATTAGCCGCAAATCACGGTAAAGATAAGATCTACCCGATCCAATGTGACGTTACGAAGGAAGAAGAGATTTTACGAGTATTTCAATGGGTCAAAGAGAAATTAGGCGGTGCTGATGTACTCGTGAACAATGCTGGCGCCCTCGATATAACACCAATCATTGGTAAGGTTTCTCGTACCCAGATAGTACCGTACTTCCACAGGATGTCCGTTTCATGTCTAGTTTCTATCCGAATGTCCTATGTCCCTTTTAAACATTTCTAGAATGTTTTCCAGACTTGAATTTCGGGTTTCTAAAAACGTCCATCCCGAAAGTCCTACGGATATTCTGAAGACTTAAATTTCACCAACACAGAATAAGTACTTTGCTTTGAGTAAGTGGTTTTTGAAAAATTTTCTCTAACCAACACAGAATCAGTATTTTGCTTTGAAAATAAAAATAAACACAAGGTACACACAAATCACACTCCCCAGATCTATACTTTCATTGTAATTCCTTATAGGATATTTAATCTTTTATTGATTAATAGGAACTAATTTAATCTAACCAACCTAACCTAGCTTGTATCACATTGCACAGAATGAAATCTACCCGTAATTTTAAATATTTGGGAAACGTTTCTTATACACTTTTTAAGACATTACCATAGCGTTTTTAAAAACTCTTTAAACGCTCCCAAAAAGTACAAAGAATGTTACTTTTAAACATTCGGAAAATGTTCTGAGAATGTTGACACAGGACGTCTTCAGGACGTTCCACTTCGTGAATAGGACCTTCCTACGACGTTTACGGATCTTAACGAGGATGTAGGGTAGGCATGTCAAACTCATATGATATTACGGGCCACATGATCTATTTTGTATTAAGTTGGGGGTCGCATGTTTTCAATGTTCAAAAAATTAATAAAATACGATTTTTAGAATGATTATATTATGTATTATGTATTTATTAGACTCAATGTCAAGCTCAATGTATTGTATATTATACATACATAGTCGTTTTATATTTCATGTCATTTTTTAAACTAAAAAAATATTTTACATTTTATTGTATATTATATA